TTAAAGTAATGTGAATTTGTAGAGAATCGCATGCTGTTCCAGAAAATCTGCTTTAGAAAAAGGACGAAATTTGTCCAGTATCTGAAAATTATTAATTAAGTCTAATTACGTGTTTTCTGAAACTAATAAAAAATTTTGTAAAGTTCCGGTCGAACAGTGAATCAAAGCTTAATTTATTATACCCTATTGAAAGAGTGATAAAAGCACTTCTAGTTTTTATGATTATATAATTTCAAACGTATTCCGTATAGGGAAAAACAGGTTTGATGCGAGAGATACTTTTGATGAGGACAGAAGTTGCAAGAGCTGTTTTAGCGACATTTAGTATCGTACTTTTTTCTTCCTCAAAGCCAATCACAAAAATCTTGTTTTCTATTTTTTTTGAAGTTCAGGCTTTGCTCTTTCAATCAGAAAAAGAATGCACTTTGTACAATGTTCCTGAGCGGAAAACCATGGCTGGAGATTTCCACAATTACTTTTGCATCGCAGGTTATTGTTTACTGAGAATAAAATTAGTTTATTTATACCTCCCAAGGAATGAATTTTTCGGACACCGGAAATCGAGCTTCATTTGTATACACATACGGTGACTCTCTTGAGAGGGCGTGTATGAACTTTTGATTCTCGTACAAAGATTTTTCTGTAAGAGAAAGTCGTTCATTTCTAGTTGATAGAGCGTTTATCTAGAATACCTCCTTGTTGTAATTTTGTATAAATTTTTTCTATTAAAATATGATGATTAATCATTAAAGTCTCTAATGAAATAATGTGATCATTAATTTGTCTCAATGATTTTTGTTGATCAACAATATCATTTTGAGCACTAGTTAGACTAATTGTAATACTACGAACTAAAATCTTGACGAAAAACTAACTCTAAGTGTAAAACTTACGTATTTGATAAATTAATAAGTTTCTCCGACATTTCATCTTTTACTTGTGCTTTAGCATAAAACTCCTCTGCTCGATGTTTCCAATATAAATTAGCTTCTGAATCTTCGCTCGATGTTTTTGGAAGCTGCTGAAATTTGAGAAAGAAAAAAGTGAATGATTCATAAATAAGTAGCATCAAACGGTCATTATTATGTAGTATAAAAATCTGAAGTTTGTGGTGCGACTTTAATAACAGAGTTGACGGTTCAAACACCGACTAAAAAGTACACTTTAGTCATGAAAATTGAAGAAGCTGATCATATGAAATATATCCTTCTTATCATCAGAACTTCTTCGTACTGTTTTCATGCACGAAAAATGTACTTATTACCTAAAACTGTTCTTGAAATATTTCTACATGGTTCCACTCAAGCCTTTTCTGTTGGCCAAACGTTAAGAAAATGTAAAAAAACATTTGTTGCACTCCAGCAAGTGGCACTTATGACATTATGTTCTATTTATAATAATGCGGTAAATCGATTTCGGGTTGGGACTATTTTTGTTAGATGGGGTCTAACGAGTAGTGAAACATCCCAACTTGGTTCATCTCCATGTTACTTTGTTTGTGTTGAAATTTTAGTCAGTTTTGCCTACAGAGCTTGAATCTCGAGCAAAATCCGACTTTCGAATTTTGACTTGAATCCTGCTACACCAGTAGCCCATGGGCATAGTAGTACTACAGAAAAAGTCGATCCTAATGAATTTTTTGCCTTGAGATATTCAGATTCGAACTTTTAATCCTCACTCCCACATTCAGATGAAATGTTATCTATGTGTAAGTCTAGACGATCCCTATCAAGCTCTGGATAGAGTGCCCTGAAAATTTTGCAACTTACGGGCTATTCTTAAAACTCTTATTGCTATAAATCTTTTTCAACACGTTGGAATAGTGAGTGCATTTCAGTAAAAATATTAAAATTTCGAAATTTATTAAATTAGTCAAAACTCGAAAAGGATGCGTACGAATCCTTTTGGGCTTTTTTCTACTATCATAGACCCTATCGACGGACAAAATACCAGCGAGAAAGGACTATTCGCTTGAAAACATGAGGCACAAAAGAAAGCATTGTTCACATTTTTAGTAGACACAAGTTTGTTCAGAAATTTATTTTCAACGAACATACTAACCGTTCCTGCTTCTGCACTTTCCGTTAATTGTTTGAATAGTTTACAAGTTAAAAGTCGTCCTAAACATGAATTATTAGGTTGTTCTAAATTTAAATTATCTTCCTCAGTTAACGGTTGTGTTAATCGATTCTTTTTATTTCGCACATATTTCATTTTACTATTATTATTAGAACTTTGCGTTCTCATTTGATTTGTCATTGATCTAGCGGCATATTCTTTCAATTTCTGTACACATTTCTTTTTAAAAGCACTGATAATCATGAATACGTATGATAAAACAATAAATGGTGGTGGTAAACGAGGGCGTTTTTCATACTCCATGACTATCTCATAACGATTATACATCCAAATTTGTTCCGATTGACTTTGAACACGGGCACCCGTTAAACTAGAGTGATAAGCGTCATTATGAAAATATGAAATCAAAAAGTAGTTTAAAGAATAACGCACCCAAACATGGCTGTCAATAATGAGGTAAGAAATTGTGTTGCCATAAATAAATATTGAATAAGCAACACCCATGCTATCCAAGATGTTTGATTACATTTCGGTGATGATATACCGTAACCTAAAATTTTTTATCATTATACATCGTACCATATTGTGATCAACACGACGTACGCTGATAGCTATTTAAGTTGTCGTACTTTGAACTGAAGCCATTTGATAATCTAAGACAGGCATATTCTGATTCAGAATCAGATGTGGCATTAATACTACAATGTTGACGTGAATTTTTCAAATCATCCATATCGCTTGTAAATAGTGCCATTAGACCGCGAAATACAAATGCTTTAACAAATAATTCTAAGCTCATCGGAAAATGTGGATATAATACGGCTGTAATAGCCGCACCACTTGATACCATAAATATAAGGAATAATTGTAAAAATGTCACAAAATCATCCATTATCTTAAAAGAATAGAGAATGAGATAATTATTGAACATTATGCAAGAAAAACAATCGTACCATAGAACGTAAACGAATCATCATGGGACCAAGTTTAGGACTAATAGGTAGAAATATGAACAATATGCGATAATAGTAATAAATTAAACCAATACCCAGTACGGCTTTTGCTGTTAATATCTGACAAGCTAAACACGGTAAAGGATTAATTGATGTTTAACACGTCATGTACAACATACTTCCAACAGTCCATAAACCAATTATTCTTAATCCCAAATACAGAGCTAAAAATGTTGTCTGAACAATAACTTCCAATACAGTTTGTTGTAATGGTAAACTACTTTGAGACTATATTACCAATGAAAGTGAGAGAAGAGACTAGAAATGGACAAATGACAGAAAAGTAAAAGTGTACGTACACAATATTTCTCATACGCAACACGACCATTTTCGAATGCAAGCGATGCTGCCCAAAACCAAACAAAGCAATCGAGTAGCAAATTTCCACATGATGGCCATAGAACAGCCACCGTAAATAACGAGAGAAATGTCAAATATGAAATGAAGTTAGTATAAAATTTTGTGATTGGTGCTGACCATAATTTGACAATTTTTTCAGTAATTGTTACAGATTTCTCACTCGAGTCCTTTGGATTTGCGCTCTTCACTTGACGAAAACCTCGCAATATATTGCCCAAACGTTTGAATGCGTTGTTATGCTTTGAACACATAATCAACTGGATTAAGCTATTAAATACTTAATTCTAATAAGCTTACTCGTCCATAAATAGTTGATTGATGTTGATATACACCCATTTGCTTTCCCTCTAAAACATATGCACATTTAGCTTTCTAAAAATTCTCGCGATATAGTTTTACTTACCTTCTATTTGTTCATCTATAATGAGCGTGCGTTTTTGCAATTTATCTTGTAAATCGCTCTCTTTTTCGGGTGCTGGTTCTGCTTGACCAATTGGCGAAAAATTAATCCAGAACCACATGGGAAATATAAGACAAGCACTGGTTATAATCTAATCATCAAAAAATGTATGAAGTTTTGATATACAAAAACGTGACACTCACTTTAAAATAAATTGGTGTTTTAAATAGACCCCATGGCATTTCTCTCGGAGTTATTTCACCATAAAATTGTCGTGTTAACCATTTTTGACAAGCTGCATGAGCCATGAACTCCTACCAATTAGGAAAGCTTTCGAATAAAATTACATTCATAAAATTTCAACAATTTACCTTATTTTCAGCATTGTACGCCAATTCCACTGTAGCCATATTATTCCAATCCTTATATGATGCATCTTCCTGATTATAGTGCGATCAGCTAATGATTAAAACTTACTGCATGTTTTTCATCGAGCATGTCGAACGTTCTTCTACCATCTTCATTAAAACTTTTATCTAGCACACCGACAGCATAATCCGAGAATTCCCTATGAATACAATAGGTTAAAACACCATGCACATGTCAAGTTGCTTCATAATTCAACTCTTCCATCCCAAGAAAAAAAAGGCGTCTTATTTTATCCGTCTTACTCCTTCCTATCTTGACCTTACTTTTTTCTTCTTCTTTTTTTCCATCTTCAAGTAAGACGCGTGAATCTATCGAAAAAAAAAGTCTTATTTTTATCGTCTAACGAATGGTAGTTTCACCTCCTTTGTGGCAGATACTACTTGTTGATTCAGTCATGATACACAAGGAAATCTTTTATTAGAGCCTTAGCGTATAGCAATTCATCTTCTTCTTTTTAATGTCGCATATAGAAATCTTATCGTATGTGAAATAAAGAAGATGCACTATACGCTAAGGTTCTATTTTTCGTCATAAAATAGTGAACGCGAGAATGACATACTAGCCTATCCTCATCGTCCTAGTTGATAGGACTAACCTTAAATTTAAACTATTATAAAATAAGACAGATGAGTGTATCAGTATAAAAATAAGACCGTCGAAGTCGACGATTAGTCGCATACATGCATCGCAGAATAAGATCTTACCTGTTTTATCCTGTCTTATCTATATGCGTCTTATTTTAAGACTCTTTCATGCGACTAACCGCCTCCCGACTTCGAGGGTCTTATTTTAAGATGCATTTTGATTTAGTCTACTTTGCTTGTTTTTCAATTAATAAACGTTGATATGATTCATGGCAATAAGTTGCAAGTTTTCTGAACATCATATTACACATTAATGCCAGTGGTATAGGCTCTGATGAACGTTTCCATAATACTTTAGCTAACTGGTGACGATTCATCAAAACCGCAAATATAATCAAGTGTCTTAATGCCTAAAATAGAAAGAAAAGAACGCTTCGCGTTACAGCTCGAGTTATCAATATAAAGTGCTGTGAACGCACACTTGCTTGATTAGCTCGGTACTTCCTCTGCTCGTATTCAACAGTAGCCCCGTCTCGTTACTAACTGTCAGACTAGCTCTGTCTAGAAGTTCGATCTTTCGCGAACTTCTTTCAGCCAATTACTGTAGGTACTTATATACGATTGTTAACCAATATCATCCTTTTTGTTAAATCAAAATAACCGTATTGTGCGTGAAAACGGAATCCAAGGCAAATAGCCTTGACAGAGTATCTCACGTGACAGAGAAGTACGTGACGAACGATACAACTACTGACCGTCATCCTTATCGCATGTAACAAAATAGAGCAGAATAAAATAAACCTTTTTCTCAGCTCGAATACGTTGTTTAAACACACTACTATCAGATGTATTGCCAAAATAAATGCCCATCGCATTACAATTCATTTCATATTTATTAAAAAAATAGCTAATTCCTGTTAAACTTTTAACGATTGTATTTAAACCACATTCCACAAAATTTTCTGGCATGTCTTCTTCATCCTATAATAGAATCAAATGCACAATCATATTCCACTAGAGATGCGCAACACTATGCTATCATTCTTACCCCTGTTAATCCTAAAATACCTTCTAGTGATGTTGTTGTTAAAAATTCACGATTATTTGACTGTTGAAATAGATCAACCAGTTTATCTGATTTTAAATAAGTATGTAAAGAAAAACCTCTATTCAAGAATAAATCAATAAATTGTTCTAAATTTTTGCCTAATAAAGCTTTATCAAATAATTCATAAGATATATTATATTTTGAATTATCTTCACCTTGAAATATCTCTGACAAAGCTAAATCGTATAAATTCCAGTCTAATGTCAACTGTAAATTATGCTTTAATTGTGTAATTAAACGATGTCCAGTAACAGATTTTTGAGCTGAAATGATACATCAATAAGAGTTAAGAAATATTATTTGAAAACGAGATGATATTTGCTCACATTGTATGAATGATGAGAGAACGTATTTATCAAAATCGTTCAACGATGTGCTTTTGTTGATATCAATAAATGTTAAAAATTTTCGTCTACCCTAAAATGATCTGGAATGAGTGACATATTAACTCATTTTAAGTTGCGATATTACGTACCTGATCAGCTTTTCTAACGATTTCGATGATATAATCTCGAACATCGTTTCGTTTCATGTTGTTATCTTTTAATGCAGGATACTCTTCTATTAACCGTCGAGCTATTTCTACTTTCAAATAAAAATTTTCGTAGTCTGTGTCATTTCTAGAAGAACAGACTTTATCACTTTAAACTCTTTTGTGACATAGAATATTACTACTTTGCACTAATTTCTTCGTAAGCAAAAGAAATAATATCGGCAGCTCCCTTCGTTCCTTTTACTATTACACATGGAATCTCTTGATTGATTTTTTGATACAACAATTCAACGGTATTTGGAGTACCACGAACAAGAGTGCACACCATCGGAAAATCTAAAATACTCAAGGTTTTAAGCATATTTATCAGCAAGTTTTCTTACTTATCACCTTCTGGCCGTACACTTTTGCGGGATTGATTGTCTGAATTACGAAAGACAAGTTTCATCGAGTTTTAATTCATTTTACATTTCACTCACCAGTTGTCGAGCTTTTACGTAAATAATTTTCGAAACGATCACGAAACTTATTTGTGCTGCTCTCAACTGAATCATCGAATTTTTCTAATCGTTTTTCATCAATATTTTTGGATTTGTTGCGTATAATAATAAAATGTGTATGATCATTGTTCAACGATAATTGATCACGCTTTTTGACAGGTACTTTTAATTCCTTTTGATTACTAAGAGTATTATTCACAACGAAACTGTGTTAATTATTCCTTACAATGTCTGGTTGATTTTTAATTTTTAAATCGATCAAATCTTTAATATCATTCGCACATACTATTCCAATGAGCATTAGAAATTTGCGTGCTTTTGGTGTGCGACCCATTTGAACTGCCCACGCATCATCAGCTCGTCTCAAAGACTTAAAGTTGAATAAAATGGTTTTAATAACCAACAAAAAAAATAAGGCCTGAAAAACAAACTTTTTCTTCACGAAATGCTGTACCGATCAATTGAGGTGCTCCAACGTCTGAATATAATCATCAAAATATTACTAATTGTAGTTTTATAGTGAGACGATGGAATATACCTAATCCGTTTGTGATGAACCACACTTCACTCGCATTAGCAGCCTAAAACATACTGATAAATATTGTACACTAAAGCAATTAACAATAGAACATACATTTTTTATTCCTTGTTTAAGTGATTCGGTTTGCTTTTGATTTCTCCATGATTTATTATTTGATACACTACTACTTAGTACAGATATCACAATATTAGGAAAATCTAAATTCCATTTAGTAATCATAAACCGGAGTAGAGAACTCAAATCCACTAGATCATCAACTAACAGAAAATATGTCGACTAAAAAAGAGTATGAATCAAAGTATGTATGGTAGTGAACATTCCAGTGAACCTACTTCTGTCGTATAATCATTTGGTGAATTTTCAAATATCAGCGTCCCCCAAGAAGCATTATACTGCTGACGAAATATCGTATAAAATGCATCGTCTTCTAACAGTGATAATGATCGGTGAAGATTATTGGTAGTATTTGCTACTGTTGAAGAATCCATTTTATATAACAAAGAATTATCCCTTGAAACAGTTAACTGACGTATCTAACGATCGTTCTTAGAAGATTTCCTAGTACTGATTAGCTCGCTTGGATTTATTTATCCTAACGAGATTGAATCTAAGAAAATTCATCAAATCTGAGGCAATTTTATGCGAGTAAAAAGTTGAAATTTAAAAGGGCAAATTTCAACGTGAGTTAAATGACAGTTGAGATAAAGTAAATTTTAGGTAATACAGTGTACATAACGCTTGATTCTGGCTAAATCAACAACTAATCTTTACATGAGGTAATAAATTTCAATCGAGATGGATGTATTCTGTTACAATAGATTAACAATAGATCAATGTATTCAAGTGATAAGCATATACATGAAGAAAATGAATTTTTGTACCCGATACCATTGATTATAGCTGTTTTGGACACAAATGAATGTTTCTGTACTTTTGTGCCCGGTATAGGCATTTAATAGTCTTCTGATTTATGTGTTCTAATCGAATTTTCAAACAAAAACTCCATTCTCCGGTTTGCTCATGAAAACTTAAATTTAATGACCACTGATTTAATTATTTAATTAAAGTGCTTTTCATTTTGGGTAGAAGATCATGAAACACAATATGAGTTAGTTCATGTAATACAGTAATATATCAGTTTTAAACCGAACAGGAAATAAAAATTTCGTATACAACATGGACGTTTGTAGAATTAAATCTACTTACACTCTGCTATTGTAATCACACGTTTGTCCTGAATAAATCAGGCAATAGTGATCGTTTTTCTTTCATTTCAAAATGTAAACTGGGTACAAAAGTCTGAAAAACTTTATCTATGACATTAGACACAAAACATTCTCGCCCATATACATGAGTCATGTATTAATTTAATGGACATGTCGTCACATTGCTATTTGATAATAACGTACCGAGCGCAAATCAATTTGTTGCTAATTAAAACAGTTAATCTTCTAATTTATCTTAGAATAAATTAACTTACTCTATCAGTTGCAAGTTAGTGATATACAAAGCCTTCCTTACTTACGAAAATTGAACTATTACTACTGTATGATCGGCTTGTTATTGTGAATTTCTTTTCTTTAATCTTTTAATCTGCAAATACTTGAACTCGGATAAGTATGTTCGTACATACACACACATTCACAAACATATGAAACTAAAAAAGTATTTGCTATAATGTAAATGTCAGAAGTATGATTAAGGAGAAATATCACATCTGTATTGTCATTTATCAAGCCCCCTCTATTATAAAAATTCGATAATTAGCTAAATACATGACTTGATAATCGGAGGAACAATTCGAGAGCACGCAACAAACAACAGTTATGCGCTTGAAACGAAAGTTTTTGCAAAAACAGATACGAACGTTGTTTGTCCGTAATGAAAAATCTCGAAGGCTTTTTGCACTATTGTTACATGAGGGTTACACTCTTTCTTGTACGAATTATACGCACACTATGAGAAGTTATGCACTCTTGAATACGAGAAATTCACAAATATGTGCGTTCGCGATTCAAATTGGGTACAGCGCGGCAAGATTGTGATAAGATTACAATGGCTTCACGACGCGCAATGAAGCGTGGATTCTACTAGGGTGTGAAATGAGAGCTGATGATGAAGATGGAACGGATAATACGAACGAGGTGTAAGGGTCGGTCGGTCTAATAAGAAGAAGAAAGAAGACCAAACCTGCTACATCATAGTCAACTCCACATCGGTCGCATCGGTTACGATTAAGAGTGCATCGATTTCTTTTCGTATTTTTTCAAAAATTCATAATATATGATTTGTATTTCTTAAAAACGAGTTACAACATTTTCTTAAAACGGCAGTTTAGTAGAGAAAACATTTCTCTACAAGATGGTATACAGTAGCTAATTTCAAAGCTTTTTGGTGTCTTTAAAAAGTCTTTTTGATAGAGAGGTCTGTCGGTTAAAAACCGCGGTTATAAACGACGATAGGTTTGAGGAAAATGCTTTCTAAAAGGAAACAGAAAGCTTTTAAAGTACCTTCTGGGTATACTATCTTGTAGAGAAATGTTTTCTCTACCAAACTGCCGTTTTAAAAAAATGCTGCAACTCATTTTTACGAAACTACAAATCATTTATTATGACTTTTTAAAAAATACGAAAAAAAACACCGATGCACTCCTAATTACGATATAAACAGTTAAAAATGTCCCAGACACCTGAAACCAATGACACACAACTTTTGATTCCACAATTAACCTCAACGACTATCAATGTAAATTCTATAGTTAATGAGAACGACGAGAGAGTTATATCAGCTCTAGGAAAGCATGAAACTGAAACAGAATGCAAAATCGATTGGAGAAATTTTGAAGTTATTGATCATGATAATAATTCGTACCATTTACTCATAAAAGAAAACCTAATGACTAAGAAGCTAGAACCTAAATCGAATTGCACAACTCATTTTGTTTCGATGATCATAAAAAAGAAAGCCATAAAAATAAATAAATGGGATGGTCAGTATGAGATAGAGTATACGCATACATGTAAGAACGTTAAATAGGCATCTAGCAAGCAGCGTATCTTTATTCCACATTTGACAACATACAGACACATTTGACAAAAGAACGAAAGAAAAAAAATCATAACTGCACTGGTCGACGTTCTTGTTTCTTCGCATTTCAGACAAAAAGCTTGTAAAATATTTTACATGTATTTTTATCACAAGAACCTTGCAGGAAAGCGCTTTCTTGTGTGTTCATACAAGAATCGCGAGACGGATTCTAGTCTGAATTCACAAAAAAGCGATTTCCTGCAAGATTCTTGTCTCATTTTTTCTTGCAGGAATCTTGTCTTCTAATTCTTAAAAGAATCTTGCAAACAAAAAGAATGCATAATAATTTTTTTTTCGTCTTCTTTTCTTTTCATATATACAGCAACTGGACGCTTTGATGGTAATACGGGCACAAGTGAAGACTCGATTGTCTCTCGATAAGAATCTTATGAGATTTAAAAGACTTTTTAAAGGCATCTATGTATAGTACTGAGCTATATTATGTAACTTGTATATAGCACGGGAATCGACAAAACAAATTGATGATTGTGTCGTCACGAATCTTGCCGCTTCAGACAAGAATCTTTAACAAAAAAAGATGGAAAATTAATAAAAAATTAAAAGAAGAATCTTGTCTGATCTATCACGACAAAATTGAGGATTCTTGTCTAAAATGGCAAGAGAGAAGAACCCAAAAAAACTCCATCTGCAAAAATCTTTGCAGATTCTGCAAAGATTCTGTAATCTGCAGTTTTTCTGCAATGCAGATGTGCCAAGATTTGGCCATTAAAACACAAAAAATTTTGGCGAAGTAATTTGATTACTATTTAAAAAATGTTTACCCTCGTATCTGTATGAATCTATAATAAACAAATTTCTAAAAAGCAATTCATCAGAAATGGACGAAGTTTAGCTGCTATTAACTCATAAGATAACAACTATTCTACTGAAGCACATGCCTAGAATTACAAAAATTACATTTTTACAGATAACCTCAGACAACATCGAAAACTCTAATTCCAAGCATCATATCAAGTAGTCCATCGAATACTAACAAGTAGAGATCTTTCTGGTGGCTTCTGTGTATAAAGATGATAACTTTTTCGTTCTACATCAGTAAGCAAGAATAATCTACATATATTCTGCTCTGTGAGTGATATGGAGTCGATTTCCTAAATACTATTTCGAGGCAGATTTGTTAAAAACTACATTCATACAGCTACCAATAATATTCATTACTAAAAGACCTCTTTATTTCCAGTCAGTGTCCCTGAAAGTAATTTAAAAATAGCTCCCTCTTCGATTAAACTTTACACACTCGCACATCGACTTGTACTTTCAAAAGTAACAAATTTTTATTTCAGGTTTCATTTATGATCATATCAGAGCAAAATCAAAGATTGCTGAAGAGCAGAGAGAAACATAAAAATTTCAATTTCTTCTCTCTGATCTATCAGCCATGTTTTCTTCTAAGTTCACACGAAAAAACAAACAGAATTGTACGACGTAAACAAATACAGTAACAATCACTTTACGTACGAGTACAATTTTTAGTTTTACTATGGCGCTCCAAATTCGAAGTTACAGTGAAATTTGCAATCCACTCTCGTTGCATATCCTTAGACGCAGAATTTTACGCTGATTCAGAATATCACCTTTAAAATTCGATTAACTTGCGTCTTCGTTGAGAAAAGCGGAAAAACGTGTTTTTTGCCCAAAACGGCTAATTTCTAAAAATCACTTTATATTTTATTACAACAACTATTTGGAACCTTCAAAGTTAGTTATTCTGACTCATCGTGAAAAACTGCATCGATCTACGTAAGTTTTAAAATTTTTCAATGAATAAAAGTGATCCACAAATCCACACGGATCGATATAATAATGAGTTTTACCTCGACCCAGGAAAAATGCCATCAGATTTTTTTCGTAATAGATACAAACTTAATTCTTTCGCCATTCGATTCCCCATGAAATTTGCTACAAACGCACGGATCTTTTTTTCGGATTTTTTTCCCTTGCTGAGTAATGAGGTTTTTACCGAAAAAATCCACTTTTAAGCTTGTTTTAAACCCATCAGTTTACTGTGATGCCACGGAGTATTTGGGATCTTAGGCTGCTCAGTTACATTTTCTTCGGACTGTTCTATATATCATTCTGTAGCCCGTGAAATTCTCTGTCGAATGGTTTATTATAGTTGATATTTCGTCTAGGTGAAGGGGATTGACTATTGTAAATGTTTTGAGTAGACGTCGTTTAACGGGAGAAGACTTTTTTCTGCTAAAATGTTTCCAGGGGCGCTGAAAGCATTTTAAGGTCTAGAAATATCTTAGCGTTGATCACGGGCAAAAACTGCATCAGATGAGTTAACACAGACCTAATTTGAGCGTGGACCGATTTTGCCTCTTATCGTTCCCCGTCCTTTCTGCTTTTTAGCCACTTTTTGCCAATATTTCATACT